CACACACACACACACACACACACACACACACGCACACACACACACACACACACACACACACAGAGCTGGTGTGCACTTGCTGTTGACATTGACAACGCCGGCATGAGCGAAATATGAAAGAGGAGATATGCAACCGGCCTGGCCCATGGGTAGAATCATACTAGAATGAAAGATTGAGGAAAAAAAGGAAGAAAAAAGAGATCAGATGAAAGGACAACATCATAGCAGCACATGAAGAAAAAGAAAAAAAGAAAGGGTACATGATAGAGAACTATACGCTCAAAGGATACAGTGATGTCACACAATCAATATTTCATCATCATCTCCTTTTTCCTCTTTTTTCTTTTGACATTTAGAATCATCTAGGGCGGGAGTCCGAGTGGGGACAGGCGTGCTTCCACGAAGGGAAGATAGAAGAGCCTAAAGAGTACTACCGCACTGGGATCTCTCTGCCCTGTCCCTCTCGCCACCTCCTTCCCTCACTTTTCCTTTCTCCTGCCATTCGCCTCTTTCCATCCCTCCGTCTCTCTCTCTCCCTCCAGGGGTGTGTCCAGTCACTCACGACGGTCAAATGCCCTCTCATACGCCTCCCCCCCCCAATCTCTCTCTCACACACACACAGTCATTCTTCCTTACCCGCTCGCCTTTTTCCCTTTCTTCCTCCCTTCCTCCTCTCCGGTTGCTGCCAGTTGCATCTTTCACCTTGCGCCCTCAATCTGCCCTCCCCATCTTCCCCCAGCTCTACCCCATCCTCTTCTCTCCTTCTTCTTTGTCTGTCCCCTCCCGTCTTTCTCCTCGTCTTTCTCTCCATCGTTGGGATCCTCTTCTAGCTCCTGCTCCTCTCCAATACTCCACATGGCGCCTATGGATCTGGTATGTCCTTTCCTCTCCTCCTCTGCCTGTCGCTGTTTCTCTCTTCATTGCTCTCTCTCTCTCTCCATCACCCACATCTCCGCATTTACCTTATCCCTCTCCTGATTCAGCCTGTTCGTCATTATCCTCCTCTCCTTCAGTAAAGACCTGTTCTCCTCCCTCTGAGCCCCTCTTCCTGCCTTGCAATCTTTCCTTCCGCACCTTGTCCGGACCCCCCCATACGCCCTGCATTCCTCACCCTATTGCCTTCGGGATCTTTCCCCCGCACATAATCGGTTCCTACATCCTGACCCTGATTGCCCGCGGCATTCCTACCTCCTCCTCCTCTCGATCCCACTTCCTGATCAGCCCCCTCCCAATCCACGTTGCGCATCTCCTTCTTGGCAAATTGGGTCCTCCCACTTACTCTAGGCTTCTCCTCGACCTACTTCCTCCTCCCAGTTACTCTAGGCTTCTCCTCGCGTCTTACCCTTCCACAACCTCAACGGTGGCGAACTTACCTTGAATGCGTCACCACGTCCCGGTGACTCTCACCCTGATAGACCAAATCCAGACATTCTCACCCTCCTGATCCCCCATCCTCCCCCTTCCCCTTGTCCTTCTCCGGCTGCTCCAGCCCCTCAGGATTTCGATGGCGACATTCTCCTGCCTGCTTGAACAGGCACTTGACCTCACCCTACCTGTACTGCTCCTTCTCCGCCTGCCCTTCGCACTCACGGCATGATCCCTGGCTACTCCTTCCAATAGTGGCCGTGCACAAATCCTGTCGCATTGCACTTGCCACATAGCACCCCTGCAGAAAATGGAGTTGCAGCCCTAAACGAACAAACGGATGAAAGGAGAGATGTAGGGAGGGCGGAGAGAGAGAGAGAGAGAGAGAGAGAGAGAGAGAGAGAGAGAGAGAGAGGCCGCAGGCAAACACACACACACGCAGACACACACAAACACACACACACACACAGAGGGAGAGAGAGAGAGAGGACACTGAAGGCAAACACACACATACACACACACACAGAG